TTTTTTTTTTCTTTTTACACTGCTAAGACCACTTGATTAAATATTTATTATTTACTCTCCATCTCTGACACTGGTTTGGTTTCCATAGTTTGGTTTTTGCTGAATCTCCAGTACCTTGAAGAGAGCCTACATTATGAGGTGATCAATAACCATTTGCCCAGCTAAATTATCCACTTATATTTCCATTGTTTGTCTGCTTTTGACAAAAGGGTCATCAAAACTTCCATCCCATATGAGGCATTCAGACAGCACTTCTTCCCTGGCTTCTGAGAGAGAATATATTACATCCCTAGATCTTTCAGCCAACGAACTCAGAGATATTGATGCCCTAAGCCAGAAGTGCTGCATCAGTGGTCATCTGGAGCACCTGGCAAGGCTGGAGCTTCACCAGAACGCACTCACGGGCTTCCCACAGCGGCTATGTGAAGTAAATTTAACCTGTCCTACTAACTCTCAGCATATCTGAAGTGCTTTGGCATTTACATTTAATGTGCATGGTTAAATCTTTAAAAAGAACGTTCTGCTTTTGTGTCCTTGGACAATAAGTCCCCCATTCTTCTGGGTTTCACACAAGTCTCTTAGACGGGGTGGTGTTCAGAAACATCTTTGAGGGCAGGCAGTGGAAATGGAGCGGTAGCTAAAAAGGAATTCAGGGTCCTGTCCTGAAGATACATGGTACATGTTAAACTCTCTTAAGGCTAGATGTTGGTTATGCCTTCAATTATTTAATTGTTGTAAGGCGGTTCAAACGACTTAAACTTGATAGACTAGACTTAGAGCTGGTTTGGGTGGCACTGGCTCTGGCTCAGCTACCAACTGTGTGATAATAAGAAAATGTTACTCCGACTGCTCTAAGTCTTTCATTTCCTCATCTGCCAAACACGGAGGCCGGACTAAACTACTCCTAAAGCATTTACTGAATTTTAAAATTATATGTAACTTAAAAATAATTATTTGTTAAAGAATAGGAAAAGAAAACTAGAATTCAGTCTACTTAAAAAAGAGGGAATTTGAAGAGAACATGGCAAGGTTCTCTTAATGAGCTACGTTAAGGCATTCCAAAACTGAGCCAGCTCAGAACCTTCTCTGCAGGAAATTTCAAATGGACACCCCTAGATGGCAGTTTCTGTTCCTGCCTAACTGTGTTTTCTTATAAAAATATTTTCTAATTAAACCTTGGGAATAAATAATTTTAAAATCTTCTGAATAATCTGGTTGGATCTGAAACAGTGGCAGAAATTTTGAAACAACTTCTGGGGCAAAGATCCATTAATAAGCCTTTATAATCATGTCAAACTCTTTAGAATTCCAAGTGAAGATAAATATATTGCTAAGTAAAGAAGAGCACAGAGAAGTGATTGTTTGGGTATTTTAGCCCTTTGACAATAATTCATACCAAATATTAAAAATTTGACATAATATGTAAATGGAAGGTTTGCTGTTATGATAGTAGGATTAGAAATGGCTTAAGAATAAAAATGGAGATTTGAAACAAAAAGTTCCCTAAAAAGAAGAGGCTCTAAATAAAATATATGTTATGTACAGTGACTGATTTTATGGTTAAATCTTATTTATATTAAAATGTATAACAATTTCCAGAAGCTAGCATTTAAAAATGTATTCCCAGGCTTATGTTATACTGCTTATTCATGAAATCATTAGTTTAAATGCTGCTTCCATTTTTACTTGCTGAAGGAATGAAGCTGAGTTAAATACTAAACTTTATTTTTGTGAACTTGCTTTTGAAAACCTGCCTGCCACATGTCCCCTGGTTTTACCCATTTTAGAGCAGAGAAAGTTGGACCAGTCAGTGTACTAAAGCTCTCTTGTGAGTTATGTTTTCAAGTTTTAGAAAATTCTTAATGGTTCTAGTTATGGGAGTTATGGCAGGCAAGAAATTTTAGCTAAATTTACTAGTAAGTTTCTCAGGGGGTTTATTTTGGAATTTTAAAAATACTGTCTTTCCAGGTGCTGAAGTGTTTGACGCACTTGGACTTGCACAGTAATAAGTTCACAGCGTTTCCCTCCTACTTGTTGAAAATGAATTGTATTGCCAACCTTGATGTCTCTCGAAATGACATTGGGCCCTCGATAGTTTTGGATCCTGCAGTGAAGTGTCCGACCTTGAAACAGTTCAACCTGTCATATAACCAGCTCTCTTCTGTTCCCGAGAACTTGGGCGATGTGGCAGAGAAACTGGAGCAGCTGACTTTAGAAGGGTAGGAAGGGCTCATTAGAGACCAAAGGGTGGCCTTGCATGGACGCTGTGTAAGGTTGACAAAATATGCTGACATTATTTCTACAGCAATAAATTTTAAACTGTAACATGTTAAAAGACCGAGGCAACTAATATTGCAGCTTGCATCAATTGACTTAAACTTTCACAACTAATTTTAAAGTTGATAAATCTGATTGATGCTAAACTTTGAAGGCAAGTTGTTTTTTCTTTTTTCTTTAAAGCATAGGTATTCATGCAATTTAGTTCTCATTTTCTCTGTTACTAATTTTAAAGTTGATAAATCTGATTGATGCTACACTTTGAAGGCAAGTTGTTTTTTTCTTTTTTCTTTAAAGCATAGGTGTTCATGCAATTTAGTCCTCATTTTCTCTCTTGACTAGAAATAAAATATCAGGAATGTGTTCTCCCCTGAGCCTGAAGGAACTGAAGATTTTAAATCTGAGTAAAAACAACATTTCATCCCTGTCAGAGGACTTTCTTGAGGCTTGTCCTAAAGTGGAGAGTTTCAGCGCCAGAATGAACTCCCTTGGTAAGTGTTCTGGGCGAGCCTTCTCTTCACCAGCACTTTTGAATATTACAGGATGAGTAATATTGGACATTTTTGGTGGTGATTTAATGGTATTGTTTGAGTTTAAATATGATGTTGGAGCTTCAATTATAAAGCTAGCAGGTTGGTGATAAAAATAAATGAGGAGTCAAGCCATGGACACAGGAAGGAAACTTAAATGCATGCTGCTAAATGAAAGAAGTCAAGCTGAAAAGGCTACCTACTGTATAATTCCAACTAAAAGAAACTGGAAAAGGCACTACAACAATCAGTGGGTACCAGGGGTTTGGAGTGAGGAAGAGAGGAATGAATAGTTGGGGAAAAGGAGGATTTGGGACAATGGAGCTATTCTGTGTGCTACTGTTAAGTGGACACAGGTCATAATACATTTATCAGGATGCATAGAATGTATAACGCAAAGAGTGAACTCTGTTGTAAACTATGGATTTTAATGACAAGGCATTAATATTGACATTAATTATAACATATACCAAACGATACAACTTATTCATAATAGAGGGGGGGAAAAGTGTGTTTATGGGTGGTGGTAGGGAGGAGAGAAGGGATCCATGGAAAATTTGGTACTTTCCACTCAAATTTTCTGTAAATATAAAGCTGCTTAAAAAAGTCTACTTTTTAAATTAAAAAGAAAGTTTAAAATGTTATAAATTAAAGATAATTTTAGCAGGTGAGTATTGGCATAGATCAAAATGACAATATCTTGGGCTATAAATAGTCACTATATTGTGGTTCCTTTCAGTCTACTAAACTAAAAACTCTTATGAATGCCTGATCTGGGTATAGCAGGAATCCTAAGTTCCTACCGAGCTTCTTCAGAAATTTTTGGAGTATAAGTATTATTAGCACTATTGTTTCTTTTTAATCAATCATTCAACAGTTTTCAAATTAGTAAGGTTAATATACATTTATTAAGTTCTTGTTTTGTGCAAGGTATTATAATAATAATTAATATGACCACTACTTTTATTACAAGTCATGGAACACCCTTTGTGGAATACCCTAAGCCTGTGAGATAACAGGGAACTATGTTCATTTGCAGCCTATCTGAGAATTATAATATTAAGGGAAAATACTTTTATAACCATAAACAGAAACTCCTCATATTTTATCTTTCCTAATGGAGGCCATGTGCATCTTGCCACCAACATCACTGTTCTATATCTGACTCAGTAAAATTAGTAAAATAATTTTTAATACATCTTAATAGCAGAATACAGTCTGACCACTTATTTTCAAATATATTAATTTGTCAGAACGATCAGAAACAAATGAGAAGAGCCATGCTAATTTGCATAGTATTTTCTTTTTTTCTCCCTCTCACCCTCTTCTATATTGATCATATTCCTACCATGAACCAGAATCTGGGGGTAGGAGGCAGGGGAGTGTGATGTTTAAGTTGGGTCAGGAAAAAATAGCATTTATAAGGACTCTGAGGCTTGATTATAGTAAATATTTCATCTCCACTGAATTTCACACACACACACAAACCTATAGAATAGGACAGGTATGATCTCTGTGTGACCAATTGAGGAAATTGAAGCACTGAGATTTCTGTGTGACATATCAGGGACATAAAATTAGCTAACCATGAAAACCTGAATACACCTAAGTTCAAAAATCGATTTTCTTTTCACTACCCAACTTTAATAGTTTCAGAAATTGTCTATCTTCTAAAATTACACAACTTTAATAGTTTTAGAAGTTGTCTATAGTTAGGTCATACCTGACTGGGACCATGAACCATTGAAAATAACCTCGTGTGAAATGAAGTTTCACTCAATTCTTAGATTTTATAAGAGTGTTTTTCCATATAGCATCTGAACCTCAAGACTCTTTAATTCTTAAGTGGAGAAGCATTTCTACTAACTTATTTAGTCACAAATACTTTTGGAAAATAGGTGAGGTGTAGCATAGCATGTACCTTTCAGGAAGACAGAGTCTAGCCATGTCCTGGAACTTTTTGATCCTTGAAGGTTTTCTAGATAAAGCATAACTCATACTTTTAATATTGAAAATGCTAAGAAATAATTTCTGAAGTTACTTTCATGGAACCATAAGTTTTTATATTTCTGAAGAATCTCAGATATCATCTGGTCTAGCTGTACTATTTTGCAGATGACAAAACAGGCTGTATGATGTGCTCGGTTTCCAATATTGTGTTCCACAGAATTTCATTCCTTGGAGGTCCTCATACTATATTTATTTCTTGGGAATTCATAACATATGCCAGGCTATTGAGAACTCTGAGATACTTCATTTTATTTTACCTAATGTTTCCCCAATCTCTTAAGATCACATGATCAAAAAATACCTTCCTTAAGTAACATCCATATTACTCCATAGAACACTCTTTATGAGATGGTACTCTGAAGAATTTTTATCTTTATATATTATATTGTATATTAGTATTCTAAAGTACTTTGTTACAGTTATTTAAGAGTAATTTGAATTAACCTATAATTTATTTCACAAAATGTCACACATAATTTGAAATGAATATTCTAATAATTTTTATGTTCATAGATGTTAAACAGACTAATTATATTTAGATAGTTGCTTAGCTTTCATATTAAAAGATTTGTATAAGCATGGTGTATTATTTTAATGTTTAGTGGTAGTATTAAGGATGCCACCATATTTTAAAAGTAGATCTTTGAAAAATTGTCAGCATAAGAATAGAAATTAAATTAAATGACAGTTCATTGGTAACTGTTCTTATAGAATCCAATAGAAATCTAGTTAAAATGATTTAAATGCCTGTTATCTCATTTTTGTTTTCTTTTAGCTGCTATGCCTTTTTTACCTTCTTCTATGACAAACATCAAATTATCTCAAAACAGATTTACGTGTGTTCCAGAAGCAATTTTAAATCTTCCACAGTAAGTTTATTATTTTAATTTTAAAGCCACACGAGCTGGAGCAGAACCTCCAGAAACAAGGTTTTGATTTACGCATATAAAATGTAATTGATTTCTAAACCTACTTAGCTTACTGTTTAAATCTATGAATGTTGGACATTCACTAGACAAAAGGCCCAAGTTGTTACTTGGACTTTTAAACTTTTATATTAACTTGGTGTGCTATTGTGTAGTAACAGTTGAAGATTATTTAATGAATAGTTCGCATTATGATCCTCAAATGAGATTACATTGGCTGTCACTTTAACTATGCAAGGCATCATGCTCAGTGTTAGGGAACGCTGTGTGTCACCTTGAGACAAGCAGGTGGAAGAGTGTGCCCCTGCACAATGTTAATGAGCTCTAAGACCCAACCTCTGAAGAATCCTCCTAGCAATAAGTGAAATTGAAAAGAGATAGGGGGGCTATTTATTTATAACTCTTCTACTTGAGTAGAAGCAGGAATTTTAATGACCATTTTTGCATTTGTTAATTATGATTTCTCATGTGTCATAAACGTGTAAAACACTCATTCTGAGATTGACTTTTTTATGTTTCTGGAGCAGGGAAATTCGGCCTCAATTTTGCATTTAATGGTACTTATTCATGTAAATGTTTCTAGTGAGAAGGCCTCCTTTCTAGCTCATCTGTACTTATAAGTACCCCAAAGCACACATGCATCCTTATATATAAATATTGTTAGTTTTAAAGTTTTTATTCTCTAGTGAAAATTACTGGTGATATAATTTTATGTATTTTGGAAACACTCACTTGGTTCTATCTTGACACTGTATTGTTTTAGCTTGCGATCATTAGACATGAGCAGCAACGAAATTAAATACCTACCAAGTCCTGCACACTGGAAATCTTTGAACTTAAGGGAACTCTTGTTTAGTCATAATCAGATCAGCATCTTGGACTTGAGCGAAAAAGCACATGCATGGTCTAGAGTAGAGAAACTACATCTTTCTCATAATAAACTGAAAGAGGTAAGAGGTCATCTTTATTTGCTTAAAGTTATTGCCATTTGAAAATAGGCTTGCGTAATTTGCATCATCAAAATTATCATTTTAAAATCTGTCATTTTGTATTTCCTACTTTTTGAATAAGATCTAAACCTACCCCGAGATAGGTTGGTATATTAAGAATGCGTAATTTCCATAAAAGAACACGTTTTGTGCTCTATTTTTTAATTACAGAAATATATCTATTTAACTATGAATGTGGTGTCTGTAATGCTTTAAATGTGTTATTTAATCATGAAATCACTGATCTGTTACCAGACTCTCAGATACTCTGCACTTCTAAAGTTGACACCGGGCCACATATAGTCATGTTTTTCCCCTAACTTTCTTTCCTACATTCTTAAATTCCTGCATTCCTTTACCTCATCCAAGTGGGCCAATGTCCTTTGCTTTACTCCATTGCCTCTGTTACAAATCTGAAATTGATTATCCATTGATCTCAGAAAAAAACTTTTTTTGGGCCAAATTCAAAAGGCAAAAATAATCAAGTGTCTGAAACTGTGAGGTTCAGAATAACTGATTTTTGCCAGAAAAATTAATGTTTTTTTTATTTTAAAAGTAATGAGCCCTACCCGGTTTGGCTAAGTGGATAGAGTGTTTGCCCGTGGACTGAAGGGTCCCGGGTTTGATTCCAGTCAAGGGCACATGCCTGGGTTGTAGGCTCTATCCCTAAGGGGCACATGCCTGGGTTGTGGGCTCTATCCCCAAGTTCGGGATCATGCAGGAGGCAGCTGATCAATGATTCTCTCTCATTATTTATGTTTCTATCTCTCTCTCCCTCTCCCTTACTCTCTGAAATCAATAAAAATATTTTAAAAAAATTTAAAAAGTAATGAGTACTACTTAAAAATTTGGAATGGAAAAAAACAAACTCTAGTTAATGTGCCACCTAACTTAGTTAAACAAAATTTAGTTGTATTTTAATAGTATTAAGTTGTATATAAGCTTGTGATGACCAGATCTTTATAGTATTACTGAAGAACAAAACAATGTGAGGAAACAGATGATTGGATTTGAAAGCTATAAAGACATTTGCTTTCAGTGTTGTGAAGAGATGACATATGTTACCAAGGGAGCAAGGGTTTTAAAGATTATAAATACGTGACCTAGTTTTGGGTAAGTCCCTCATATTTCTCTCTTTAAACGTTCATAGTGAAAGCTGTGACAAGCACTTGGAAGGTTTTTGAGCCCTGTTGAAAGGTTGTGCATGTCGCTGATGGGATCTCTGGTTCTCTCTGGCTCCCTGTCAGCTTCTTGTTCCTTGGCAGTACACATCTTCCTTCCCACCAACAGACTTTGCCCTTTTTTTTTATTTCATTAAGATTCCTCCTGAGATTGGCTGTCTTGAAAACCTGACATCTCTTGATGTTAGTTACAACTTGGAACTGAGATCCTTTCCCAATGAAATGGGGAAATTGAGCAAAATATGGGATCTTCCTTTGGATGAGCTGCGTCTTAATTTTGATTTTAAGCATATAGGATGTAAAGCCAAAGACATCATAAGGTTGGATCATTTTATTTCCATTTGTTTCTGTTAAGTGTGTTTCAGATTTCTCTGTGACTTTGAGGGTTATAGAATTACAAAATAAGAAAAAAATGTAGAGTACTATTTAACATTAAGATGCTATGTATCATTTGCCTTTTATATAATGAACTAGAGGCCCGGTGCATGGATTCATGCACTGGTGGGGTCTCTCGGCCTGGCCTGCCCCCTCTCACAATCTAGGACCCCTCGGGGGATGCCGGACTGCCTGTTTTGGCCCGATCTCCTCAGGCTAGGCCAAGGGACACCACTGGTGCACAAATCCATGTATCGGGCCTCTAGTATGCATATAAGATCTTTGGTTAATCTCTTCCCACCCTCCGCCTCCCCCTTCCGCTGAGATTCATCAGTCTGTTCCATGTTTGCATGCCTGTGTGTTGAGCGTCTGCCCCTGTTGGCCAGTGTGTGTCATAGCTACTCGTGGAATGGTTGCTTAGGCCTTTATATATATATACTAGAGGCCTGGTGCACAAAAATTTGTGCACTCGGTGGGGAGGGAGGGTCTCTCAGCCCGGCCTGTGCCCTCTCGCAGTCTGGGACCCCTCGGGAGATAACGACCTGCTGACTTAGGCCTGCTCCCGGGCGGCAGAGGGCAGGCCCAATCCCTAGGTGCAGCCCCTGGTCAGGCTCAGAGCAGGGCCGACTGGGGAGTTGGGGCACCGCCCCATGTCATGCACAGAGCAGGGCGGATTG